CCATGGAAAAATAAATATCATCACAATTTTTTGATACGTACAGCCCTCTTAAATGTTTCTTAATTTCGCTTATATTTCGGTACTTCTACACTACTTATTGACAGATTTTACTACTATTATTTAGTAGGAAAATATAAATTAAGTAAAACAGGGACCGTTAGCTCCGTAGATAATGTCTACTTATTTATTTTTTATAGTATTTACGATTTACGTTACGCGTGTGCAATGTGCTCATACGATATATCCTACATAGTAAAAGTAGTTAATTAATTAAAATTAAAATTAACATAAATATTAAATAATCAAATTTCCATTTGAAAATAAACGTTATTTTATATGAACATACTTTTTACCGAAATCGTGAAAAATACATTTTTTATAAAAAAGTATTGATATGATATTATTGACTAATATGACAGGTATATAATTTATTATCATAAAATATTTCATGTACCTACTAAACAACAGCACAAAAAATTTAAAAATGTCATTATTTGATTCATTTCTTTTGTTTTAAGTAATGATGGATGCATTCATAAGCCATAAAGGAAAAACAAACATAAAACATTATTATTATGTGAATTATAAATATTTAATTAACATATTCATCTTATAATAGTAATAATTTATAAAAATAGCTATTTATATTAATGAGAAATGGGAATTTAATATAAAAATTTGAACAGTATTATTACTTTTAGTTACCTAATTTTACCTATTAAATTATACATACCTATATTATATAAATGATAAAAAACTGAATTTATAAAAATTAATACAAGTTAGGTAATTATTTTTCTAATGTATTTACTTATTACAGACAACAATAGTTTTAATACCATATTGATTATTATTATGATTTATGTACAAATGTACTACTGAACAACAGACATCATTATTATAAAACTATTTACAAGCTAATGAGTTATGACTAATATATACGCTTTGACACAGGTATTTTGTTTTATCTGAAACAGATGTTGTTTAATAAACTGATTGCTATTGGAATTTATTCTAATTCCTGAAAAATAAAATAAAACATGAATAAAAATACATGAAAGGCTTACAATATTCGTAATATAGGCTTATGTTTTCTTGTGAACAAGTAACAACTGAATAACTATATAATAAACTATTAAATAATTTGTATAATAGAAGTTCGTAAGTATAAAAAATGATAATATTTTATAGTAAATAAAGCATTATAATTTTCTAATAATTTATCATACCATTATTACAGTATTACCACATAACTGCATACAGTAATATATGTTATGCTTAATATTCTTTGTGACACAGTGACATAAGTTCATACATTAACATACAATTCACAATGGTAACGGGCATAGCCAGAAGATCTGATTTCATGTTTATGTTGTTTTTCGATTATTTTTTTTGTTTGTTATGAAATGTAATGTACTTATTTGTTTGTTCATTGATCGTTAATTTAATTCATTTGAATGATTTATATCTTGTTGACCACCATATGTCCATATGTCTAAATGATGAAACGGTTATTACAAATATAACTATAAGTTATTAAGGAGTTGAACATGAGTAAACTTCAATGTTTTGATGAATTGATAGTGAATTTATATCACATAAATGCAAAATTTAATAATATGTATAAATCTATAGTAAAATACATGTGTTTTATTCGATAAATGATTATAGCATTATAATTTATTTTATTTTATTTTTACAGTTGTATCTTGTAACAAGCTAGCTTAGGTACCACAAACAATTTGTAAGTCATAAGCCCTTGAGTTTCGTACATTATATTATGATAACCTGAATGTACTACATTAGATTGGTGCTTTCGTCAAGGCGTCTAGATAATTTGCATCGCTTACCTATGTGGTATATATTAACACTTATGAACTACAACTACGATAATCATATATTAAGAAACAGTGTAACTTTATATTGCAGTTACACAGAAATATTATTGTAGAGAAACATAGAATACAATTATACATTTATATGGAATATATATATTAAATTATTTTGTTTGAACACTTACAACTATGCTGTGACGTAATTTTGTATTGCATAACTTAGCAAGGATTCTAAACATTGAAATAACGATCAAAAACAATTTCACGTGATTTTCGACAAAAATAAGTAATATTACAACAATAAAATAACATTCTTTATTTCCAATATTGTGATATACTTATAATACAAAATCGTATATCAAAATATAATGGTTATATTATCATAATTTTATGAGTGTTATTGCTTGGTCACGACAATATCTGTTTAGTCCCGTTTAAATGCAAACAAATTTAAATAAATAGTTTTATAAATGTTTAAAACATTATAGTAGAACACATTTGGTTTGTGACTTTTCCAATATAATAAGTTTAAAATTTTGTTTCAGATAAAGGAAACAATTAAATGTGACCAGCGATTTTGTACAATGAACACACAAATGCGAAAACCGTTCAATTCGTTTGTATGGAAATGAGCTTTTATATTAAAACTAAACCAGCACGGTTAGGTACACAGATAACATATTAGGTCATAGTCTACTATATGCAACGATTTTTGATTTTTATTTTATTCATGTTTTCTATCCTTTTGTAATATTCTCTATTATTAGATACCAATAGAAGTAAATTTAAAATTATATAATATTTGTGTTTACTGTGTTTTTCAAATTATACACTAACACAATACATAAACATATAATAGTATCAATGACGTTGTTCGTCTGTAACCTAACGACTAATACCTTTCATTAGATACCTACCTTGTTATTAATGGTCATTATCGTAACATATGTATACATTATACTAACCTAATATTCAAATATAAAGCCTATACCTTTGAAATAATATCATTATACGATTTTACTTTTTGTACTTGATTATTACTTATTATAAATTATTTTATTTCAGAGCTATATTTACTGTGTTGGTTATTTGTATGTATTTTTTTATTTTATTTTATTATAATATCAAAAAATCTATTACTAAATTGTAGGTAAGTATACACCTAAGTATATAACTAAGAAATATTATAATGTTATATAGAATAATAAAGCAGTATCATTGACATTAACCTATTCTTGGGATCGCCAATCAATGTTTTTGGAGGAAACAAAGGAAGTTTTAGGGTGCTATAAAAATTATATAAACAAGTAAATGTTTATCTACTGAAAGGAATAGCATAATCAATAAATTTATATTAAAATAAAAAATAAATATCATGTTTGTGGTTTAGATATAATTTGTCCATTTTCTGTAATTCAGTGACTCTGGAAAAATTCTATAGTCAATGGTGTTATTAATATTTATTTGGCATTATAAAGTTGTAAGCTTATTTTTCAAAAAGTGTAATCTTACACCAAATTTAAAACTTTCTAGAAAATGTTCTAATTTTTATGACAATTTACAATGAATTGTTTTTAGTTGAAACGGATATTCTTAAAATGTACCTTTAACTGTATATCGTGTATTCTCTCGAATGTATAAGCTTTTTAAATGTCGACCAATATGATATTTTTCATCCTATCATCAACGTTATACCGCTATATTACTTATAATTTAAATACTCACATTAAAATATACATAATATATAATACTAGTACCTGTCTGTTCTACTTATATCAACATAATATGCAAGTAGACGAAATACAAAGTATTAAATTTCTACCTTTCGAGTATGATAGCAACACACGAAACTAGTATAGTTGTGTGCTTGCTTAACATACGACAATGACAAATTAATTGCTGAAATTTAACTGTAAAGTTGAAATTGAGTTACAGATTTCAACTTGAGATAAAAAAAAAAAAAAAAAACAATATAAATAATTACTAAGATTTTTTTTTTTTTTTTGTTGTATTTCATAAAGATTTCAAGGATTATTGTGCATATTAAAACGTTTTTATTGATTTCATGTCTTGCAAGTCGTCCAAACATGAATTAATATTTAGTTCATTTGACATCAGTGACGTATTTCTGAGGTAGATGGCCTTTTAAAAATGTGACTGCGTATTTTTTTTATTATCATACTACTGAGGTTGTAATTTAAAGCGAGTAAGTTATGTATAATAAGTAATAACATGATTGATAATTGAAAAATAAAAATTCATAGTTATAAAATGTAAATCAAAAAACTCGATTTCACGACAAGTGTGCACTTATAATTTTTATAACACAATAGGTATACGGAATTATTTATGTATGTAATATATGTATACCTCGGACTACGTTCTTGTGAGGGTTGGGGGTGGGGAGAGGTACGGTGCCCAAAATAAAGCCAAACGCGTCACTTGATCATCTACCAGCACATGGGTAATAACATGACGTGTCCCCGTTTTCCGATCCGTACCATCCGTATCATTACCGATGATTTTCGTCGGATTTGGACCGAAATCTGTCGCAAGGCGACACGATGGGATCATGGAGAGACCGGTACACGACGATCGGAGTTGCTCGTGAATACCGATATTTATGACGTCGGAACCCACGTAAGGCAGATGACTATAATATACTGGACTGCGACGGTTTGGACGGAACGACTTACACGATTGCGACACCCTCGCACATTATTGCATCAAGCCGATCGGCCTCCACGATGCGGTCGGCCTCCGGATTCGTACCGAAAAGTTACAAATCTCGCGAACAACGCGGCGACCTCGGTCGGGGTAGTCCGACACGTCTTTATCGTTGTTGTCGTCGTCGTGATGATACGTGGGCACAACCCGACTGTAGGGCTTGCAATCCATTAGATCTGGTTAATGTGCAGGTACTCGACGTACACAGGCAAACGACATTCGATCGAATTTGCCGGTAGGTTAAGGAGGGCGGAAAGCGGGGCTAGCATTATCCCGAGTAAAGGGCCCCGACTAACCCGCTCAGTAGCTCGTCTCCAACCCATACCGAAATCGTCCAGGTCGAGCAGACGGGTATAGATAACACGTATAAGTCGTGGTTACATATTATTTGGCACTCGACCTGCAGACCTAACCCAGTCGACGTTGAAAGCGGCTGACGGACGGACGACGGACGTCGGCGTTACGGCCGATCGAGACGTCGGTGTGACGGCGTTCAAACAGTCGGCGACCGAGCCACGGTACCGCGGTATAGATACGACCCAGCGGAGCAGCGATTCCGTCGGGCGGAGGCGGCCGTGTCCGTTCACGTTGGCACGACTGCAACAGCCGCCGCAATCGCGGCTGCTGGCCGCCGGTTTGTCGATTCGGCTTTCGGCGAGGCCGTCGTCGCCGCCGCCGCCGCCCGCGTGCAGCGGCGGAGCGGGTAAACGTCCGGTGAAACGCGCGTTAACAACACGCGCGAACCACGTCGTTCCGTCAACAACAACTGTGCCGTCGGTGTCCTCCGTCTTTTCAAGTACCTACTCGTAGACGTGCGAAACACAAGCGTTGTGAATCAAACGACGACAAGTCTATAACGGGCGGATCAACTGCGCTACCTCCCCGGTGGCGCGCGTCTACCATGTCCGGCAAAGGTTCGTTGGAGGTCAGCCGTCTGATAGCCGAAGTGCACCGGAGGCCCGAGCTGTGGGACCGGCAACACCCGCAACACCACAACAGGTCCGTGCTGGACCATCACTGGGAGTCCGTGGCCGCTATTCTGGGCATTACCGGTAAAGTCAATTCCATTATCGCGACGATAATAATATTATCGTTGTTACTTGTTATTATTATTACTATTATTATTATTAACGGCGACGGTAATAATATATCACGTCACGACCGTCGTTCGCGCATCGAAACGGAATAATATTTTTCGCGTAACGCAGTTGCCAGTTAGTACTGTCGGCGGCGGCGGCGGCACCACATCGCGTTTATAATAATGTTACAATGGTAATAATAATGGATGATATTTTTTGCAGTGCGCGGCGGCGGCGGCAATGATAATAATATTGCGCGTTCCAATCGCTCTAGACGCGCTCACTCGCACGCGCAGTCCTCGGGCTCGCGTGTATCGGTGGCGGCGGCGGCGGTGTTGTCGCCGTGGCCGTCGTCTCCTCCACCGGTCCGCCAGCCGTATCCCCTCCTCGTCCTGCAAACCGCGACGCTCGGAAACCAGACGCCAGCGGCGGCGGCAGCAGCGACGCGTTTTACAAGAGGCAGCGTTTACACGCGGCGTCGGCGGCGGCGGGTGGCCGTCACGGCGCGACCGTAGAGCACGTGGGTATGCGCGCCGTTCCTCGTCCTCGGCGCGCACACCCGCCAGACTGGCGCGCGGCACCCATATCGGCGGCAGCGCATTTGCCTCGTTCGTATTATTGCTGCTGTCGTTATTGTCGTCGTCGTCGTCGTCGTTGTTGTTGTTGTTGTTTGGAGTCGTATTGTATACATGGCACGGCCTTTGTGCGTTTTTTTTTTCTCGGACCCATCGTCATCAACCCTACCGACTTGTCCGCACAGGTGACAGTCGTCTCGCGGCGACGACGCCACTCGACGTTTACGCCGACCGCGTCCGAATGCGTACTTAAAATAATAATAATTTTATTATATTGTGTTCTCGTGGTGGACGTTGTGTGACGGGCGGTGGTCGGTTTAGGCGATTACAATGATTTTGACCGAATTATACAAAATTTTTATATTTATCTGTTCGGGCGACTATCGCTGTAGGTACCTGAGTACCGTTTGTGGCGACTGGCGAGTGAAATTTATTCTTACCTGCACGACACGAGTGCGGTGTGTGATATTGGACGTGGACGACTTTATATTTAACTCGATATCGATATTTTTTTCATATTAAAAGTCTATTATTAGTTATTAATATTATTAATAACACGTAGGTAAATAATATTGTAACTATGCGATATAATTTTTCCAACCGGCATTGCTATAGGACAGGCCGGACAGGGGTCGGCAATTAAATTCTATGGAGGTCCAGAAAATCAAAAAAAAAAATTTTTTTTGAGGGCCAGTAAAAATTAAAAACTCAGATATTAGTTAATAAGTGTTGTGTTATCGCAACTATTATTGTAAATAGCAATAAACGATAAACACCATCGTAATCTCTAAATACATCATAAAATAGATAAAATATATTATGTGTGGAAAACCGGCATTATTAAAAAAAAATAATATTTTTTGTGGTCCAATTATTTTTCCTTTACGGGCCGGATTTGGCCCGCGGGCCGCCTATTGCCGACCACTGCTATAGGATAATAATATATTATAAATACGAATTTGCCCATTAACCTGTCTGTACGAATTCGCTCAAACAGTCAACAGATCAAAGTTTGCGTCGATTTACCTTAACGGTCCGTGCTCGTCGGGACCGCTTGAACTTCATGAACGATCAGACAGATCATAAGTTTTGGAACATACCGATACCAAGTTCTCCGTGTAATGGATTATAAGTTGGGTATGATGTTTGTTTGGTTTGTCCGATTTGGCGTTATAGTGTTTACATAAGCGTTTTCCGGGATCAAACTTGATTTACTTTCGACTAAATAATAATTAGAATAATAATTACTAAATAGAACTTGGATCATTTTTTAGTATTTGCCGTTTTCTATTTACCAAGTGATCAGTATTTTTTTTCTTTGTGACTACACGACAGCAATAAAAACCAATACAAAGAATACTTTACCAATGGGACTTACGTTTAAAAATAAAACTCTATCTACTTAAATTCTTCAATTACCAGTTGATACTGTAGATTTTATTATCGTTCATATCAATTATTTATTGTTAATGGGATTGTATTTTATATTGTACGTACAATTGTGCATATTAAGATATATTATGTTGTTGAAAATATATATAACCCGATATTTAATAAAAATGATATTATTTCTTATGAAAATACAAAGGTTTCACTCATACAGTTATACCTTTTAAAAAATAATTGAATTACATTTTCTGCACTTCTACAGGTTACAATACACAATAAAATCGTACAAATTATTATTAAATACACTTTCAATCGAAATTTTTATCATAGGAATCGTGGATCATTATATTTTCAAATCCTTTTTTACTTAGTTTCGTTTCACTCTATAATATTAAAAAACAAGTTGCTGTAAGATTCTACGAGTATTATCAACGGAAATATTATGATACGAATCTATGTTTAATTTTTAAGCATTGTGGTATAATACATATTATACGTTATTAATTGTTACAAATATTATATCAGGTATAAGTGTACAATTGTACAAGATGTATAGGAGTAAGAGATTGTTATTTTTTTGATAAAAAATATAGTGTTAATGTATAATGAAATATACGTACTTAAACCACTTCAAATAAAAATGTTTGTAGTAAAAATAAATATATACCTTTAAGCAAAAAATCTTTCCATTGAATTTAATTGAATATTTACATTATTTTTATAATTTATCTAACAAGTTTCTCAGTAAAAATGGTTATTTTTTTAACACTATTATAATATAAATAAAAGAATATATTTAGTTACAATAGCATATTATTGCACTATTATGAAACAACTATTTATCATTAAATAGATTATAAATTATGAATTTATAATACATTTTTTTTTATAAGTAATGTATATTGTTAGTTATTAAATATAAACTTGTAGATACCTATTTAATTAGTATTATGTACTACAATGGAATAATTTACAGAAAAAAAATCAGATGAATAGTATAATGTATACAAATAAATCTTAATGCTTTTATTTAATTTTACCATACATATTTGTTCATTACTCTTACATTGTACAAAGAGTTTTAAAAATAGAAAATTAACAAAAAAAAACTGTAGAATGTTATAAAAATATAAAATAATACAGCCAAATTACCTATGTAGTATGTATAAGTACTTAACTATATTAATATCGTAATACATGATTTGACCTATATATTAAAAAAAAAACAATGTTTTACAATAAGTAAAAATGAATTTGTTTCGAATTCTCAGTCTTAGAATAATTATAATTGACTTTAATAAGTCTTTATCAATACATATACATATATATATATATATATTAAATTCAGTACAAATTTATTGAAAATAGTCGTAAATAACGTTTTCATCCAGATAATTAAAAATAATATTTTATAAATTAACTATTAACCTATAATATATTTATTGCTGTACTACAATAATATTATACAGTACTTAGTACAAAATAATTTTATTATATTACCCAATTATTTATGTACTTGGTATACAAGTATGTTAAGTTATTTATTTCAATAAAACAACGTCATTATTAGGGCTCGGAAGTTGTAGGAGCTAAAAAAGGCAAAATATACACGAAGAAATTACAACATATGCATTAATGATGTTAAATATACAAAATAATTATTCTGTATTCAAAAAAAAAAAAAAAAATGTATCAGATATTGTTAATAAATTAATAAAATAATAATATACATAAAATTTGTTTATAATTGAAAACCATTTATGGTAGGAATTTTGGCATATTATTAAGCTGAAAATATAATTAAAAATATTTTTTCAGTATTCTTGAAATTATGATAAATAGGTTAGGTACCTTTGTTAAAAATTTTGAGTTTTACATTCAATATTTATTTAATTGAAATATACCAGTTAAAAAAAAAAATCAATTTTTTAGAAAAATATGAAAAGTGCATAATATGCGTACAAAATCAATAAGATATGCACTTTTTTTTTAGCTAAATTTATAAAATATGCAAAATATGCATTTTCAATTTTTTAACTCACTATTATATAGTCCAAATTTTTAGCTTGGTCTGCTATAAAGTGAGAGCATACAGAAAAAGATGCAATTCCTAAAACTTACGATCTTTAGTCATTATAAATTTAAAAAGAATCTTTGACGTTAATAAAGAACTAATCAAATTTTTCAAAATAAATCTAAAAAGAACGGATATCTAAATACACGGTACATAATCAAACTGTCTGATGTTAAATTTCCCTAGCAATGATAACTAATTTTTTTATTGTATTGACTAAAATTTGTTTTATAAATTATATACTTATAAAAATAACAATTTTAGTGCGTATTACGCATAGTGACTTTGTTTTGGTCTTATACCTAATATATATATATAAACTATTTAATCATTTATTTGCATTAAATTATTATTATTATTCAGTGTATATATAAATATAAAAGTATATTACTATAAAGTAAAAAACTGTAGTTTACTTAAATATTATATTTATAATTTTAGGTAAAGCAGCACGGGGGAAATGGAAAAACTTGAAAGATCATTTTCGTAAAGAGTACAAAAGATGTATGACTAGCTTAGAAAGTGATCAAGAAATGTCTAGATGGCCATATTTCCATTCTATGATGTTTATCAAAGATCAGATCTCACACACTGTCACAAATTCAGCATACCTGTCAGATTTACAATATCAAAACATATATCCAGAAGTGGAATTAAAAGAAGAAGTGTCGGATGAAGAAAATCCTTTGAACTGCCTTAACATTGAGTACGATAATCAAAATTCAGTCGAAGTTAAATCAGAGCATTCGAATCAAGACGAAAATATTTCTGATGACAAACATTTCTTATTGAGTCTTTTACCGATGTTATCCACACTACCAATGGATAAGAAACTCGTAGCTCGGATAGCAATCGAAACGTCGTTGCTCAACATAGCTTACCCAGATCTGAATACAGTGGACAATTTTCACTCTGGACAAACAACGGGTACCACACAAACATCGCCTAAAAAGACTGAAAAAAGAAAAAAAATGATCGAAGATGAGTTGCACCCGAGGAAGCGTTCATTAAACTCAAAAAAAATATATTGATATTTATTACCTACTTCATTAAATTTATTTAATTATTTTATAATAAAATAAAATTGTAAATAATATTATTATTTTTCTTTGTATTATCAATTATTATTATTAAAATTATTATTTTACATTAAATTTAAATCAGGATTTAACAGTTCCGTTTGTTTTAATTATTTAAATATTTTATGAATGATAATCGTACGATTTGAGTGTAGAAAAGAATAGAACTGAGAGGTAAGTAGCATTAAAAGCATAAGGTGGAATACTTTTTGTCATCAATAACAAACCTACTTCTAATAACAAACAAGTAAATTACCGTAGTAGTTCCTTAATATACCAATAAATGTCTTCCATGTGTTGTATAGAGTGAATAACATATATGGCTTTTAATTCTTTTTAATATATTTGATGCATATAATAAAATAGAAAAGAACTAAAAATATAATTAACTACTATAATGTAATATCTTTTAAGTTTTATTTTAACCAAAATTTAAAATCATCATTATTATTATTATTATTATTAACAATCATGCCCAAAAACTAAAAAGTTAATTAATAGTCACATGGTTCTTGTTTACATTTGCATACATTTTTTTCCATACTTATATTATGTTTATTTAATTACCACCCACCAAATTATTTATTACCAAACTCTCTAAGATCTCAAAAGGCCCAGGAACTGATAATATTAGTTGAAAACCTTCCATAAGTAAAACAAAAAATACATTATTGTTATCATTCTTATTTGAGTATTATAATATCGGTTCCGTTGGAGTGCACACGACTTAATTACTTAATTACTTACTGTATAAATAGAATGTTAACACACTTTTTGTTTTTTAGCTTAAGCACACGTACAACAAAAACAAAGTGCATTCACCCAAACTTATTTTGATTTTTTAATATATGAATACGATTCACTCATTTTAAAAATTATAGAAAAATAAATACTATTTTTGAGGGTTAAAAATTTGTTTAAATATTATCAAAAACATGTTTATTTAAAATTATGACATAAGTTTTAATTTTTTATATCAAATTCAATTAAACAATTATAAAATATAAAACCTATATGTCAAACATTAAAAAATATTATTTCCTATAATTTAGTAATTGGTAATTTGATTTGAAAATTTTTAAAAAACCGTGAAAAAATATATTAAATGAAACCGTTTTATCTATGTTGTACGTAAGTTTAAGAGAAAAAAAAATATTGTGCTTCTTTCACTTAAGAAATAATATCATTAATTATATAATCATTGATAAATTAATAATTTTATTATATAATGTTATACTTATGTCGAATAAAAAAAAACTATTACTTTCATTAAATTTAAAGTAAAAAGGTAATACAATTTATTTTTTCAGTAAAACAATTTAATGTTTAATACTAAGTTATAATATGTTCATATTAAGTATGTAGCCACTTAGGAGCTGTCTTAAAATGAAACAAATCAACAAATAAACTTATTTTAATTACTACCTACATACCTAATATTATTATTTTAAATAAAACAGGTATCTACACTTATTATTTACACTAAATATATTAATTAATAAAAATATATTGTTTAATTTTTTTAAATAACTCTTCAGTGAATGACCTAATTAAATGTTATATTTTTCACCACTTGGTGTTTTTTAAATACATATAAAACATCTTAAGAATCTCGTAACTTTTACGATCTTTAAAACAAAAGTGTTCATATTTTCCTTCTTTTCTTTTCTCTTCTTTATTCCATAAAGACTTTTTTTCTTCTCTAAGAAATTAATTGAAACCTATTTATTTTTAATTATTTAATATATATATTTAAAAACTCGTATACGTATTTATCTGGTTTAATTTATTCTGACTAAATGGCAAAAATTATACTAACGATAAAAATATTCAATTAAATAGTTTATAACAATTATTAATATTTATACTGTATTCGACATTCATCATTTTCCGGAAAACAAATAATCTTAAAACAGACAATAGTCGAAAACACGTTCTGATGACGACAGAGGCACTGACTACATACTTGGTATTTTCATACAAATATTATATTATAATATTATGGTTTTTTTTTTTTTTTTTTATTCAAAATATAATTTTTTTTTTTTGAAAAGTTATACAAACAAGTTAACGACTACTCGTTATAATTTTAAAATTATTAAAAATTATTATATACTGCAGCTGGCTCTTTACACACGCAAGCCCCAAAGATATACCTCACTCCCCTTCTTCTTAATCCTGATCTATACATTATAATAGTTTAACATTTTGCATTGTACAGCTATCGCTTAGAATAAATCAAACAATGTTTTTCAAAAATAATATTAATACCTAGGCGTGTTTTCACTGTGACGATTGAACGGCCTGCAAAGCTTTAAAGACCACTGCAGATGTTGAATTTTAGTGAGGTTCAATAAAATATTTATTATTATTATCATTTATACTGTTTTTTTTTTTTTTTTTTATTTATATTTACGGATTTAAACCGGCTAAAAGGCTGCGTCGTTAACGGTACATTAAAATGGAAAACCTATATGGCGTAGATTTGCTGCCGGGGTATTTTTCGATGGTCTTATTCCTTTCCGCGAAATTTGCCCTCTTCACTCGCATTCTTATCGTGGGCTCTGAGTGCGCATCCGACCGGCAACCAATTACACAATATAGACATGGTATTATTATAATATGTACGGAGTGGTGTTATCGGAGATTCGATCTGCAGCTGTTGGGTCGCTCCGACGATGAGCTCGCAAACGGGCTTTTGTTATCGGCGATTGTCTCTCGAGACCCGTAAAACTGCTGCAGCACATCCTCCACGGCGACATATTACGTATTTATGTTGTACGAATACTTACTTGCCGAGTGGAAAACGGTTTCGGGGCTGGGTCCATCGACATGCCCGTCTTTTGATTAACTCCGGTCGCCATCGGTAAATAAAATAAACAAAAACCAATTCCATATAAATCACAAGGGTCCGGCCCCTTTCAGATGTTGTTGTCTAAGTACTATCTAATTACGGATTGTTGCAGTGTGTGGAGCTTTTATGGCGAGAAGAGATTAGTAGGATGGCGTTGGCGTGGGTATGTATGTATTGATATGGCGAATTCCAATAGGTAGATACTATAGTAATGCGATTTCTACACGTATACGTTTACAACGATTGCAAGCGAAGTGCAACCAAACAAGGTGCCTTTTTTAGTAATCTAGAGCTGTTTAGATTGAAAATAACGATATTAGAGTATAATATGTCGGTAGATACTTATTTAACAATATATAAACACATTTTGGCACATAATATGCTATCTAAAACTATAACTAATAACTATCAATAACTAATGCCTATTTCAATGTTAAAAAATTCAATATGAAAGGCATGGTAGCTTATTACCATGTATTGTATTACTTTAAACATAATAAAATTCTTTTGATTCAATATTTCAATGTTGAAACTAAATTTTAAAGGCAATTTAAACGAATAAAGAAAAAAAAACATTATCTTTATTGACAGTTACGAATGAACAAATATAATAGTATAACGATGACCAATGCTTAATAAATAGTTATTATTGTTACTTATTTTTAAAATAAAAAATCAATGACAATATATTTGCCATGGTTTGTTTCTATTGCTTATTCATTTTTTTTTTTTTTTTTTTTGTGTAACACTAAGACAGAATAATGTAAATGAAAAGTTTATATAATTGCGTCATCATAAACCAAATTTTATATCATACAATATATCTAACATTTTGATTAATTGATTGAATCATAAAATCAAAAACCTTATAAACTTTGTAGACATAAAACAGTACGAGGTATGTCGCAATAAATACTCGTATGATATGTTAATATAAAATATAAAATGAAGTTGACTATTTTTTACCAGTCGTTTATGGAAAAAATTCATGAAAATATTGAAATATATCGACAAACGCATAATTTTTACTAAAAAAATATTTCTCTGCAAAATTCACAGCAAACTGAAAAAATAACGATTAAACTAATCATAAATTACCGAATAAATAATATCTTAGGTGCATGGTTGATCATATGGTGAACAACGGACTTATTTATTTTCGGTTTGGTATCGTTAAAATTAATTAACTTGGTTGTTATATAATATGTATAAAAGATTATTCGTTTGATAGTACTCCGTTATCTCGGACAACACACATTTTATCGAAGCCATTATTACATAATTACCTAAGTTCGGTTAACGCTCCCATAGGTTTTGTTTTGATCAAATGTAATAAAAATAAAATTTTTCTTAGCAATGCAACGTTTGCTCGGTCAGCTTTTATATAGACTATAATATAGTATATATATATATATAAACTTTATATTATTATGTTGCTGTTAGTCTATGAATCAGATTCGTATACATTTGCGGTATCATTGATATCGATATTTCCGTTGACTTTACGCTGCAAACAAAAGAAAACGCCACAGACGCGTTTTGGTTTGCTCGATTTCCTTCCTACAGTTATTCTTCATATGTGTTTGAAAACATTTGTTCCTGCTTACGTACAGTGCATGGGAGAATTGTAACATGTAAGTACGTAGTCGCCTGGTTTTATTATTTCGCTCAAATCCGTTATTATTGTTATATTAATGAAGAAGTGTATAATTATCGTAATAATTGTTGCATCGTTCTTTGTCCATGGGAAGTGATCCGAACCAAAACAAGCGTAAGTAATTTTTCTTAGCCTTAGTCACTTCCGTAGCTAAAAAAAAAATAAAAAATAAAATAATAATGAATAAAAGGGCGATTGTTCGGGTTCAGGGAGTCGTGTAAAACACCGTGTTGGTTTATCATGTACGGCGAATGATACGCTCTCTCACGTGTCTGCGACCTGCACTTGACAGTCGACAGTGTATAATATTATTATGTGTCACACGTTGTCGAAGTGGTTTCTTTTTCACGGTCAGCTATTTAGTTATTTCGTCCAGAGTTTTGATAACCAATTAAATTTGTTTACTTGTGAGCGAGTCGAGTTTACCCGTGCGAGACGCCATAGCACATACGAAATTCGTTCCACCGATTGTAT